TGGAGGAGTGATTGTGCCATAAAGACATTCACACACACCATCTTGTTGCTAGCAGTGCAAGAACACCACACTGAAATTGTCTTCAAAAAAATGCTCAGAACAAATACCTATTAATTTAAATGAGAATTAATTAAAAATGCAGAGAAATTTCTCTGTCACTCTTTAATATTGCTTAGTTTTCCTTTGCTTAAGCTACGTGTTTTTTAAAGGGTAGTGCAAATTCAATCTAAGACTGCACCAGGAATCTAAAGCTGTTTATGGCCTTTGTTATATCCTCAACCAAAACAAGAATTCAAGTTGTTGTTCGTGATTATTTCAGACGTAAAGGTCGTAAAGATTCAGTTCTCTGAATATTAGTTCCTGAAATACAAACTTAGTACACTTATTAAAAAATTGAAGTCACCCCTTCCAAGAAGACATTCAGGTTCATCCTTTGGCCACCTCACACCTAAATGCATGAAAGGACTCCGCACTCCATGCAGAAGAATTTCCCTGAACTTTTCTGTTTGGCTCTAATTCCAAAAGCAGATTCTCTTCCATGAAATGAATAAAAACAGATAGGGAAAGGAATCAGACAAGTGTGCTAAATGGAAGCAAATTTCCTTCAATTTAAGAAAAATCTGCTGGGAACTTAAAAGAGTTTTGAAGACGCTAGCAAAGCTTCTTTGGGGGAACTTAATATAAGTTAAATACACATGAAGTAACCTGAGAAGTGATCCAGTTATTTCCTTCATTACAGACTGTATGTTGACATCCGAAGGAATGTTCCTATTGAATGTATATTTACGTATGGCAATGACTGGGTTGTCTCAGCAAGATGTGGCCCGTTCACATATCCCGTTGCAATCTTTATATGGTTCAGAATTCAAAAACTGTTTTCCAGAATTAACATTTGAGGTGGGTGCCATGTTCTGGAGTCTTCCTGCTCCTTCTTTGTAAACTTTGCTTGGATCACATGTATCGAATTCTTGGATCCAGTTAATATGGACAGGCTTGGGAATTAGGTGAAGCTGCACTGAAGCTGTGGTGGCCTCCACAGAGAGCAGGAGTCCTTGTGATAATGCAGTCGCATTCATCGGGGGTTATTTTATATTTTCAAGGTATGGAGGCTCGATGCTCCTACTCAGCGCCTTAGAATTGGGTGCGTGTGAAGAATCGCACTGCTGAAAATCAAAGGTAGTGGATTTCAGTGTGCAATCTGGGGGTGCAAAAATGGGATACACCACATGCAAGGGAGGAGCCCACCCCTGGAGTTAAATTCTGATTAAATGGGTGGTTAAGGGCAATCATCTGTTGCAAGCACTAATGAAGACTTCCTTTTCTCAGTTTTTCACTCGGTTCAGAACGAATCCTCATCTCCAGAGGCTGCCTTCACCTGTATTTAAACAGCCTGCTTGCGCAAATATCACCCTGACATTTATTAATTGAATAAGGACTGAGCTGAATTCCCTAAAGAAAACATAGAAAAGCCCAAGTGGGGGAGCCAGAAATCATAGACACATAAATCTTCAGGAACAAATAGTTGCCAGATTATCTTCACCAAAGGATGGGGGCTGAAGAGCCAGTGAAGGTCATCTGTAGAGATTAGGGGATTTGGCAGTTCCCATGTTAAGGCACACTTG